ACCTCGGGCCACTGCCCCCCCTTCTCCTGGCTGCATCATATGGTGAATAAGGTAGGGACGGCCCTATTCACATCTATGAGTTTAGTGTAAAAGGCAAACTATATTGACCCATTTAAACCTACATGTGAGCGCTTCCACGAAAAGTGTGAATCAACTTCAAGACTAAGGCCTCATTCACACTGCCGCGCATATACGCGCGTACGTGCGTATTGTACCATATGCAACATATGCAAATAAATGGCTCCATACACACAGCCGCGTATGGAGCCGTATATTTGCGTAGCGTATATATGCGCAAAAACAGAATGGAACAGAGATGCGTCCGGGCAGTGTATTTCTGCGTTAATACGCGCATATACGCGTTAATACGCGCGTACATGCGTACAGCACATTACAAATTCCATTACGAGTGATGCATTCCGCGATTGCATATAGTGCACGCATACACGCTCATATATACGCACATAGACGCGTATATACGCAATATACAATTTTGCTTGCGTTGTGTGTGAATGAGGCCTAAGTGAATCTCTAGCGTCTACATACACCAATGGAACACAGATATAGGAACCTTTGTACTATCCAATGTATTTGCAATACTGCCACTCTTATAAATGGCACATCCCTGACACACTGTATAGACATCTTAGGCACTATAATGCCATTTTGCTGGGTTATACTGTAATAAATGTCCTCCTCTTTGAGAGCTAGCAGCCCACACGCCGTGCTGGCTCTCAGTTTTGGCTGTCACTGAAGACCGAGGTCCCTGCTGACCAAAGGGAACCAATCCGAATGGTTCCTAATCATGTGATTACTATGGCAGCTATGACATAGTGATCACATGTAGGCTGCAGGATTCAGTTAAGAAAAGGGAAAACTTGCAGATGAAAATTGCCACCTTAAAGCTGCAGTGTTCATCTGTGGTGCCATCTATTTAATACGGTAACTGTCAGATACAGTTGCATTATTAAAATAATAATACATTCATTTTAAAAAATGTCATTTTTTAATTTCTATCATTTCTATAGCTTTTTGTGCATTTGTGTAATTCTTTGGCGCAAACAGGTTTATCTTTTAAATTTAAAAAAAAAAGCATACGAAAATAAGAAAGAAACCTTATATGTCCTTGAATAAAAAACGAATTATACAAATTATTTAGGTATGCAAATTAGTCACAGAGTTATGGTCAAGGTAACCAAAACCTTTTGTTGTTGCTAAATTTGGCCCTGGCCATCTAGGCATCAGTGTGTATATATATATATATATATATATATATATAATTACAAGTATGTATTATAGCAGGAGCTGACATTACCTTGCTGTAGTCATAGACGACACTGGCTGAAGTATTGATTCCAGTGTCTAGGTGGAAGGTCGCCACACCTCCAGCAGGTTTCACTTTGGAATCGGCTCCATCTTGCAGAGACATCTGGAAAATCTGTTGACACAAAGAGATACTGATCAGAACTATAATATCATGTACTGTACACACACTCACTGACGTCTTCACAGAAAGGAAAATGCACTGACTCTTGTTAGCAATCACCATGAATCTGTTTGCTGGAGTTTAGTGCATAGTAGCAGTTTCTCCAGGACTCTGTTTAACGTCCCGTACCAAGAAGAGAAGACTATACTGGACTATGTTCTACCCTTTATGTAGTTGCAGGTGGTGGTAGTAGAAGTGTGAATGTCATAGATTGCCATTTTTTGATTTATCCAATATTTTATTGGTCAAATACAAAACTTACCGTCTCAGTGTGTTTCTGGCTCATATGGAGGCCCATCAAGAGGACAGCAATGAGGACTACGACCAGGACCACCACAACCAGCACCACGCAGAGGAGCTTCTTAAGGCCACCGAGGCATGGGATCCTTGGCATAGGCAGTAGCTCAGAATACACCTGGGGAATAATACAAGTTTAGATGGAGATTTTAAAATAAACCTGTCATAATGGATATATGGGGGCTGCCATTGCTGACCTCATCCTCAACAAACTGGTGGATAGATTCTCAGGTGCTTTAGTAGCTTCTGAGTTAGTGACCTGGAACAAGTATGCATATAAGGATAGCTGGAGTAAAAAGTCCTTATCCAGACTGCTTGTGTTGGGTCGGCATGCCAGCCAGACAACCAGATGTCTTTGAAGAAGAGCCTCTATCTATTCCTCTAGCCTCTATCTATTCCTCTATCTATTCCTCTATCCCTCTAGTCTCTATCTATTCCTCTAGCCTCTATCCCTCTAGCCTCTATCTATTCCTCTATCCCTCTAGCCTCTATCTATTGTTCTATCCCTCTAGACTCTGTCTATTCCTCTAGCCTCTATCCCTCTAGCCTCTATCCCTCTAGCCTCTATCCCTCTAGCCTCTATCTATTCCTCTATCCCTCTAGCCTCTATCTATTGTTCTATCCCTCTAGACTCTGTCTATTCCTCTAGCCTCTATCCCTCTAGCCTCTATCCCTCTAGCCTCTATCCCTCTAGCCTCTATCCCTCTAGCCTCTATATATTCCTCTATCCCTCTAGCCTCTATCTATTCCTCTAGCCTCTATCTATTCCTCCATCTATTCCTCTATCCCTCTATCTATTCCTCTATCCCTCTAGGCTCTGACTATTCCTCTAGCCTCTATTCCTCTAGCCTCTATCTATTCCTCTATCCCTCTAGGCTCTGGCTATTCCTCTATCCCTCTAGGCTCTGGCTATTCCTCTATCCCTCTAGGCTCTGTCTATTCCTCTATCCCTCTAGCTTCTATCTATTCCTCTATCCCTCTAAGCTCTGTCTATTCCTCTATCCCTCTAGCCTCTATCTATTCCTCTATCCCTCTAGGCTATGTCTATTCCTCTAGCCTCTATCCCTCTAGCCTCTATCTATTCCTCTATCCCTCTAGCCTCTATCTATTCCTCTATCCCTCTAGCCTCTATCTATTCCTCTATCCCTGTAGCCTCTATCACAGGAGAGAATACCTAAACCAAAAATAAGTCCTGGCCTATGAAGAGGTAGGAGTGATGATCTACAAAGAGATCTTCTGCCTTTTCTCACCAAGGATCAGTGGAACATTCTCCACTATCTAAAGAAGGGCAGACCATTGCTCTTACCAAACATTTCTATGGCAAGAGATTAGCAGAGCATTTCCCTATAGTAATCTAAAGAGTACCTGTCCAGCTAAAGATCATGGAGCATCTCCCTGTGAAGCATTTTATCTTCCTTCCAAAAGAACGGTAGGGCATTTAACCAACATAAGATCATGAGAGGAAATGGAAAATGTGGTGGCAATGGCTACGTGGACCAACAGATCTAGAAACTCAGCGGAAGAGATCATACAAAGTCCGTAAGAAATATCGAAGACATTAGATAATCCAAAACCAACGGCATGCTCCCAAAAATGAAAAAAGCATATAATTTCCCCCCTCTGCCAATCCCTGCACTGGCTTCCACTCGCCCAAAGGATAAAATTCAAAATATTAACAATCGCTTATAAAGCCATCCACAGCTCCGTCCCCCGGCTAGATCTCAAACCTTGTCTCAAAATATCCCTAACAGTCCCCTCCGCTCCTCCCAAGACCTCCTGCTTTTCAGCTCCCTTATCATCTCCTCACATACTCGCCTCCAAGACTACTCTAGAGTCTCTCCCATCCTCTGGAACTCTTTACCCAACCTGTCCATCTATCTCCCACCTTGACTGCCTTTAGGCGATCCCTAAAGACTCATCTCTTCAGGGAAGCCGATCCCACCTCAACCTAACCACTGAACCATCACGTTCTCAAACAATTCATCCCCACACAGCTCCCTCCTCATGTATCACTGGTCCCTCCCTTTTAGATTGTAAGTCCTCAGGGGCAGGGCCCTCCTTCCCATCTTGTCTTGAATTGTATTGTACTGGTAATGTCTTCCTTATATTGTAAAGCACTGCGGAAACTGTTGGCGCTATATAAATCCTCTATAATAATAATAATGTATTTAATATCGTTCTTAAGCTCTTTCTGGCTAAGCCCCCAACATCACTTACAGGTGGTGTGTCCATCAACACAGTTTTGCTCTGATCCATGGCTGCTCGTTCCCTCTGGTTTCTGCACACTGCTGTACAACTGGGTTGCCGTTGCTTCATCACAGACATACTGTATATATATCCTAAAAACTGGTATAGCGTCATCAGCGTCAAGTGTTCCTCAGAGCCCAGCTTAGTAAGTGTTTACTTATGGACCGAAATATTTGAGCAACAGACACACTTGTTAGGTTTCAAGAGGTTCCACTAAAACACTTTGCGCCAGAGAGCTGCACATCATCGCCCAATTAATGGCAGCACGTTAACCCTCAACTTGCTGCTCACCCGCATCAAAGGTAGACAGTCAATTAAGCTGCATTTTAGAATAAGGTAGAAGACAAGAATCACCTGCACTCATTAATATCATTCAATATGTCCATTTATTTGGACTATTTGTCACAGTGTGTCACATCTTTTCGCCCTGATGAAGGGTCCCTGGTGTGTCCCCGAAACGTTAGCTTTTTTCACTGTGACGATTTGTCCAAATAAATGGACACATTGAATTATATTAATGAGTGCTGGTGATTCTTGTCTTCTACCTTGTGTCTGCACGGCGCCATCCGTGGTCATCACTGCGAGCACCATTGTTGTACTTTTACAATAACACATTTTAGCCAGCCCGGTCAACCAACATCTGGCAGGTAAAAGTGAGACTTATAGATCCATAGATGTCTGGGGACTAAAATTGGAATACATATTTGTCCCATTGCCTTTTGCCCATTCTATTTAACATTCTTGGGGCTTGTCCATTGAGAAATAACCCAAATTACCCATAACAACCTATCAGATTTCAGTGTGATGAAGTAGGAACCATGAAAGATGATTGGGACCTGAAGGCACTGTACTGTACACACTATTTTTGAGAAACCATTTACTAAGCTGTCCACTTATGCACTTGAGAGCCTACTCGCCCCTCTTTTCACCGTGTGCCTGTTTTGAATGAGCTGCCAATGTAACCAGAAGGAACCAGAAAATGGACAAGCGCCATTTTTAGCAATGCCGCACATCACAATGCATGGTGTTGATTTCCATGGTTACGGTGGGTTGCAACACATGTATGTGTGTCCCCCTAAGTGCAATGGGGTGCCATTGAAAATGAGTGGCACGGCAAGACACTGGCGCATGTATGGTGCATTACTGTGGGTTGTGACAATGTGCACATGGACAGGTGTGGCTGGACCCTTAAAGTGCAACTGAAGCCAGATTTTTTGTTTTTGTTTTTGTTTTGAACAGAGTGGAGAGGGATTAAAACCACTGTCAGGCTTGCATTGCGGTCTCTGTCTGAGACAGCAATGAGATTAGGGAGATTTACCTCTTTCTATTTGTCCTGGTGACCATTATCACTGAAAGTAAAAGTGAAAGAAAATCCCAAATTGTGGGTTGTCACCAGAACAGGAATAGATGAGAAATCTACCAATGGGGACACTAGTTCTGATGACCACCAGGGATTTCACTTTGGAAGAATTTCCTCTCACTTCCTGTTGCGGGTTTTGGACAGGTGAAGGGAAATCTCCCTAATTAGACAAAGATGGCAGGAAAAAGCTGACAGGGGTTATAACCCTCCCTTACTCTATCCAAAACTAAAAAATAAGTTTTGACTTCAGCTTTACTTTAATTTTACCTATAAATTCTGGAAGCATTAGTGGGCATTGGGGATGCACTGATACCAGTTTTTGGGTATCAAGTACGAGCACCGATATTTTTTGTTGGGCAGTCGCTGATACAGAATACCGATACCAGAAGTCCCGTTAAGGAAGCTGGGGCGGCGTGTAATGACTCGCAGCCTGGCTTCTTGATTAGCCGGGAAGCCATCTCCATGCTCCCTCGTCACCAGGTGACAAAGAAGTATGACGCTGGCTTTCTGGCCAATCAGGAAGCTGGGGGGCGAGTAATGACTCGCCGCTCAGCTTCCTGATTGGCCGGCTTCCCGACTCGTCAGGCAGCCGAGTGGTGAGTCATTACACGCCACCCAGCTTCCTGATTGGCCAGGAAGCCAGCTCCATGCTCCCTCATCCTCCAAGTGCCTTGCAACACTGGGGTCCCTGGTTCTAATAGCAGTCAGGATGCTGTGTATATGGAGTTTGCATGTTCTCCCCTGTGTTTGTGTGGGGGAGGTACCTCTGGGTACTATGGTTTCCTCTCACACTCAAAAGACATGCTGGTAGGTTATCTTATTCTGATCTAATTTGGCCCTGTATGTGTGTGTGTGCATGTTACATAGTCAATTTGAAAAAAGATGCAAGTCCATCAAGTTCAACCCAATGTGATATAGGGACTATAGATTGTAAGCACGTTGTGGGCAGGGGCTGATGTAAATGAACGGTATGTAAAGTTCTGCGTTCATTTTTGGCCCTCTATAAATACCTGAAATAAATAAATAAAATAAACACAAAAGATATAAAACACCAGTTATACAGTGGCAGAACAATCGCCATAGCGACCCAGGCGGCCGCTATGGGGCCCGGGGCACAGGGGGTCCCGGCCAGGACATCCCCCTGATGCCGTGCGGGCTGTCTGCGTCGCTATGGCATATCAGGCTGCTGGCTGTCACTTGCAACTGTGAGGAGGAACGTGCCGCTGTCCAGATCACAGACAACCTGTCAGTGATCTGTGCAGCGGCGCGTTCCTGCTCACAGCCGCTGCCGAATCAGTGACAGCCAGCAACTGCGGAGGAGGAGGCTGCGCCCGGCATCAGCAGCAAAGGAGGAGACGGGGCCCGACGATGGAGGAGGCGGGGCCCGCCAGCGACCATGGAGGAGGAGGACAGTGGATTGGGGCTGACAGGTAAGAAGTGTGCAGGGTTGTGACCAGCCCAACTGAGACCCTGCAGAGCCCACTATATATAGTCTATGGTGGGCTCTGCAGGGTCACTCTCAGGTGGGCTGTTTGGGGTATCAGGAAACCACAGGGAGCCATACAAAATTTTGCTATGGGGCCCTGTGATATCGAGTTATGCCCCTGCTTGTAAACCTAATAAAATGATATAAAACTGACCTAAAACCATTGAAATTTCCTATCAAGTGCCAACCACTTTCTCAATTCTTTCAAGCAACGGCCTTCCACTTGCACAACACACACAGAAGTGCTACACAAATAACACACAAGTATTTTAAAGGCTCCCGAGTGCTGGACAAACACACACACCAAAATCTCAATGATGTTTACTGACTTCTAGTGTTACTCTTCAGAGCGACAATCTGTCCTCCTGCAAATATAGTCTGGTACTCCAACCCTAGGACACCTGAGGCTGCTAAAAGCATATTTCATAAAAATGTCAACACAAGAATGTGAGAATAAAATGCCAAAATATCTACGTCACGCTACATTAGGCTGCAGAGAAAAATATTTTGGGGCTTGTTTATCCAGGTAATGTGACATGAGAATTCACATTCGGTGATCCATGGACTTGGACCATACCCTACACAGTCTCTGTTATCCTGACATTACCATTGTGTGTAGTAGGATTGAGCTGTATAAGGCCCTTGTGGATCCGTCCTTAGATTATTATCAAAGCACAGTGCCTAAAGCTCAACTCCAGGAAATTTATTTTTTTAATATGGACCCCCAGCTAGGGTACAAAATATAACATAAGCTAAGGCTGTAGTACTCACCTGTAATCCAGAGTTGTCTTCTGTAATCAGGGCCGGATTCCTGACAAGGCCACCGAGGCCCAGCCTCGGGGCGGGACTGAGCAGAGGGGCGGAACACCCGACGCCCGGAACATAGTTCAGATCGCTGGTTCGGCCTCATCTGGAGTACGCGGTCCAATTTTGGTCACCGGTACTCAGAAAAGATTTCCTTGAGCTGGAAAAAGTCCAGCGGAGGGCAACCAAACCCATTAAGGGGTTGGAGGACCAGAGCTATGAAACAAGGCTGTTAAAATTAAATATGTTCTCTTTGGAAGTAAGGAGATTAAGGGGGGGCATGATTTTCTTGTATAAAATGTTCAATGGTTATAGCAAGATTATTAACAAACTATTTACGGTTAACCCCGTAAACAAAGACCAGAGGCCACCATCAAAAACTGGCGGAGAAAAAATGTCACCACACGGGGCGCAAGGGGTTCTTCTCAGTTAAATTGGTTAAGGTCTGGAACTCGCTGCCACAGGCAGTGATTTCAGAGAAGAGTGTGGAATAATTCAAGAAACTCTTGGACGTTTTCCTTGGAGAACATAACATACAGGGGTACAGGTACAGGGGTACAGGTACTGCTAAGAGCACAATCACACATGGACTCATAGTACACACGCACACACCATCTAGAAAGCATTGCCGAACCCGGCCTTGGGGCAGCAGGGAGGGTAAATCCGGTCCTGTCTCTAATACTTCTATTAAGACTAAGGACATAAAAACGAGGGAGGCCAAAAAGTTCTTACTCTCACCATGATCTAGCTGTGCTAGGGATCTGGAATGTTGCAGGTTTATAGGTGGATATCTTAGTAATATGCATGCCGATTTTAGTTTTTTTGTAGGTGGTGGTGAATTATAGTTAGAGCCACGAGAAATGGAATAGGTGTCATGCCGGACAAAGTTGAATACCGAGCTCCACGTTCTCTACTACACTTGGTTCTGTGGCAGTTGACGGACGACCTTCCCTTGGGTCATCCTGTATATTTGTGCGACCGCACTTGAAACTAGGAAAGTTACGAGGGACCCCATTTAAAAAAAAAAGTCATACCAGGCCCTTAAGATCTGCTAGGAATTTTAAGGAGGAACCCCACCCCCAAAAATGGTGAAAAAAAGACTTGGGGCCCCCCTAAAATTCCCAACCAGACCTTTGATCCGAGCACAGGCCGGACAGGGAAGGAAAGGGGGGGGCGAGCGAGGCCCCCCCCCCCCTACCAAACCAGGCCACATGCCCTCGGCACTGAGATGGTGCTTTTCCAGGGTCACCCCTGGGGACACCCCGTGCCGATGGGGACAAGAGCCTCTTCCCCACAAGCCCTGGGGAGTTGGTTGTGGGGGTCTGCGGGCAGGGGGATTATTCACATCGGAGATTTCCTTTCACTTCCTGTTGTGCCCCTGGGACAGGAAATGAAGTAAAATCCCCCCAATGGTACACAGACAGCAGAAGATGGGTTTCCAATCTTTCATATACTGTCCTAGTAAGAATATAGGGTTTTCCCTATGCTTTATTAGGGTGATATCGCTGGACTGAGGAGAAGACACACACAGCAATGGGAGCTGATAGCGAAGCTGCTGCTATCAGCCCGACGTCCACCAACTGTCACTTCATTAATGAGTAACCCATGATGCGTCTCCATAGAGACCGCCCGCGAGGCGTGGCCAGCCCGCCGCTCGCTCATTGGTTGCAGTCTGTTTTCTTCCAAGTTTTGAGCGGTTGTGGCCCCGCCCAGCGGAAGCGGATGTAGTCCGGGCTAGTGGCGAGCCCCGGTGAGGAGAAGAAACGATGGTGTCCTGGATGGTCTCCCGGGTGGTAGTGTGAGTACATGAGGTCCCCCTCCCTGTAAATTACACTAGACACACATGAGGAGGGACTACAAGTCCCAGGATACCCCGGGTTCCCCTACCTGAGCTGAGACTTGTAAATCTTTACTACACCCGGAGCACCTTTTGTATATAGGAGTGGGGGAAGGGAGCCCTGTCTGTGTCACTGACACCCTCCCTCCCCTCCCCCGGGCTCCATTGAGGTTCTCGGTGTTCACAGCGGCTTCATTCTCTGTAAAGAGAACCTATCGCATGGCAAAGAGCTTCAAAGTTATAGAGAGACAATCACCACTAGTATTACGCAGGGGTAGGAGGGGAAGGCATTATTGGCACCCCACCTGTGATAAAACTACAAATCCCATCATGCCTCTGGCAGTCATGCCTGTGGTTGTCAGAGTCTTGCAATGGCTCATGGGACTTGTAGTCCTATAACAGCCAGAGTACTGAGGTTGGCAACTTCTGAACTGTAGTATTTAGTCTTGAAGAGGCTCTTCATCTTGCCAATGAAGATCTCATGCTTAGTATCTCTGGTGCCCAGCGGATCTGGCCTTGTCCTCCAATACGT